GCCATGTCATATTTTTTGACAAGCCATATCATCTTTTTTGATAAGGCACATCATAATTTTCAACCAATGAAATTATAACATATAAGCAAATCTAATAAATCTACTTCTCTTTTAACAGGAAGGGGATCATCGAAACCACAAAAGTATAACGATTATGCACCAGTGATTATTACAACTTTTACACATACACAAACCAAAGAATACAAAACATGAAATGGAAAGACAAAATTGAAACGCTAGAAAAAAAAATATGACCTTTACATAGAAAATTAACTATCGTGATATTATAATTTTTTATTATTGAGAGATTGATGAGCTCGATCGAGACGAATTATTGAAACCATGAAGATAAATAAAATCTAGAAAATTGTTGGTTTTTTCTTGATCTTTTGCATCTTGTAGCCATTAACTACTTCTTATTTCTTTATCTTATTTTGTTGCCATTAACTACTTATTTCTTTATCTTATAAACGATTTTTTCTTTTCCTTTAAGCTTTGACATTTGTCTTCTTTAATGGAAGAATTCCTTCATCTCTCATTATGATGACTTTTCAAAGTCAAACGATGATGAGTGGTGATTATGAACATAAACCATATATGTGATGACATGCTTAAGTCGATGCCGTCTCGTCACTTGATATATGTGATGTTGAAGACTACGATGATGGAGATAACACCATGATTAATTTCACCCTTTTATTTTTCTTTAACCGTGAATGTGACCATAATATACAGATAATGGTTCGTTCACATGATCTTCCTGGTGATGAGGATGGTTATCTTGTGGTGAGGATGATGAATTGACCTGATAGCCGGATATGTACGATGTTGATTGACTTTACGATTGGGTATAAATGTTGATTTGATCCTATAATGGGATGTTGCAGCTGATATTTGATTCTAAGATCCGCAAAATAATTAACAACTCAATCAACAAAATAATTACTAATTTTAGACTTTTTCACAAGAAATTATAGAAGTATATTATGATAGACAACATGAGATTTGTCTTTCAAAAAATGGCGTGCCCACAAAAAGACCAATAAAACACACTGATGTTATTACGCATTTTATCG